ACATCACGACAGAGCAAGAGGAAGACGAGCATCAAGGCCAACACCATCAACCCTGTCTTCAATGAGAATCTGAGGGTAGATACTTACAACAGTATTCTGTGATTTCAAGTTGCTGAATTCAAACATTTTAAATAATGAAGCCCCTGTTATTCCTGTGCAGTACGTGATCAGCCACTCGCAGCTGGAGACTCGGACCCTGCAGCTCTCCGTGTGGCACCACGACCGCTTCGGACATAACAGCTTCCTGGGAGAGGTGGAGCTGACCTTTGACTCCTGGGAGTTTGATTCCCAGATGGAGGATTGGTACACTCTGCAGCCTAAGGTAGAAACCACAACCAGCACATTGCCAAGCATCTCGTTGTTGTCTTCTCCTCCTTCTTCTTTGTAATTGTGAATGATGATTGTGTAGGTGGAGAGCAATATAGACTGCACCATGCAGTATAAAGGAGAGCTGACTGTCGTGTTGAAGTACATTCCTGCAGAGAAGAACCTCACGCTGCCCCTGGACCAAGTACAAGGTACATTCATCACTGTGATGACCATCATATATCACATTATTTATCATGCTGTAACTGTATCTCCTATTGTGTGAAAAACTTCTTGAATAAGTACCTCAAAAGATGGCCAGATCTTTTAATCTTGTTTTTTACAAAACTTTGTTGGGAAACTTTCTGACCTCTACTAGAAATTAAAGTAAAGTTTTTCTGGCTTTAGTTTGACCAAGAATTGCCTGCACAACGGGAGTTTGTAATAATGAGTGACTTGCCACTGAAAGGCTGCTTGTTAACAGAGTGAAACATAACGGCAGGGATGAACGAAATAGTCCCGAATTGCACTGATGCTGCCTGTGTATTCATTTAGTTGTGGTTAAATATACAGTAGATGTTCTTTTTTAAAGGACAAAACATACATGCTTATAATCACAATAACATGTCCTGGGTGTATGTGCTTAGCATCTGTACCAAGAAGGTGCATGTTTGTGGTTAGGGTTAAATTGAAGTATTCTCTTTCTTCCCTCCTCCATCAGTAAAGAAAGGCTTCCTGAAAAGCAAGAAGCCGAGCAGCTTCACTTTGCCTAAAGGGGGCATGGTCGAGCTGCTGGTCAAAGGAGCCAAAAACCTGACTGCAGTCAAGTCTGGAGGAACTTCAGATCCTTTTGTGAAAGGGTGAGACGCTGCATTCAGGGGCGGGTTGGAAACTTTTGAATGGGGGCCAGGCTGGGAAACGGTTTTAAAGAACCGGGGTTCATTTGTTTTTTATTGTGTCTTTGTGGTCATTTTGCTTCTCTTTATGTTTTAGTTTCTGCTGTAGTTTTGCAACTGTTTGCGGCTTTACAGATTCTCTTGTGTTTTGATTTGCCAATCTCTGTGGCTGTTCTGGTTTTCTTTGTGGTTGTTATGTGTTACAGTGTGGTTGTGTTGCTCAGCTGTATCTAGTTGCTTTGGGTAAAAGTGTCTGCTAAATAACATGTCATGTAATGTAATCTACTAGTAGCCATTTGTGGTTCTTAGTACAATTTAGCTTCACTTTGTTATAATTTTTCTCTTTTGTCTCTTTGTGGTAATTTGATTGCTGTTCTATTGTAAGCAGTCCAGCCGTTTCTGGGCCTGTACCCAGTAGCCTTGTTCAGGAAACCATCCATGATAACAAGAAACAATACCTTACACCTTCTGACTCTGGTAGAGGGAACATCAGGATTGCTATGCCAGCTTCTGTTTTACTTAAGATGCGATTTGAGAACTGACATTTTTTTCTCTCCAGATACCTCCTCCCGGACAGCAAGAAGTCAACCAAGCACAAGACGGTGGTGGAGCGGCGCTCTGTGAACCCGCAGTGGAACCACACTTTCACCTACTGCGGTCTGCAACCCGGAGACCTCAACAACGTCTGCCTGGAACTCACCGTGTGGGACAAAGAGGCGCTGGCCAGCAACGTCTTCCTGGGAGGGCTCAGGCTCGGAGCTGGCACAGGTGTGTACAAAGTTCCGGAAAAGAAAAGTACTTGTTGGAGACATTTTAAGGTCACTGTATTGCACAGGATTTCAAATAAGGTGGTTGACACCCCTGAAGCGTTGCACATTTTGCCAATGGCTGAAGAGCTTTACTGAAACTCTGAGGAGGCTGATGCTTTTTATCTGCAATAATTTGTTTTGTTGTTGTTCAGTTTAGAGCTGGTATTCTTGCTCTGGCTTTTGAAGTTGGCAGATATTCAATATATCAGGGGGAAAAAAAACAGATTGTAGGGTTGTGATTTGGTTGAAGTGGAAAGTGAGGCCCATTTTCTTTTGAATTGTACACACATATTGAGTGTCTATTTTGTATTAAATGGCTCAACAGAAACCCTGTTTAATATTCTGATGTACGGATGATCAAAACCTGGAAACGTTTATTTAAAAAACAACACCTATTCTTTATTTATGTCTTGTAAGTCCCTTATGGTTGCAGGGCACAAGCTTCTTTAATTTGTTATAAAGTTAACTTCATCTATTATACAAAACCAGTGTTGAGAGATTGTCAATGTCCTCTGGGCTCTTTATTAGTTCCAACAAAGTAAAACAAATGTTTATGTCCTTGTCCCTTTTCTGCTCAAGGTAAAAGCTACGGGAACGATGTTGACTGGATGGACTCATACGGGGAGGAACAGCGGCTGTGGCAACGCATGATTGAAAAGCCAGAAGTCCCTCATGAGTGTACTCTGATGCTTCGATCCAGCATGCGAAGTTGCAACACATGAGCCGGATCTAAGCACAGACAAGGATAAAAGAGAATGAATGAGGGAGGAAGAGGTGATGTGAAGGTGGGAGGAGAGATCTGGAGAAGTGGAACAGTCCAGAGTAAAAGCCCAGGACTGAGAGCAACAGAGATCATCCCTCTTCCTACTTCCTTCCTCCCGAGATGCCCTGTTCAGCCAGTCATGCCTTACACACTCATCCACATGAAGCCCCCTGCCCTCAAAAGCATCTAGTATTGACCAAGCACTGCTGTTTACTGCTGTATATGAAGAAAACAAAACATGTGTTGTATGTAACTTACTGTACCTAGCCGAATAAGCACATGTGTAATTCCGGATGTGTCCGTCCTTGTCTCTGCGATTCATGAACCTGAGTCATTTCTGCATGCAGTTACAGCTGACATTTTGTGAGGCACAGATCAATAATGTAGAGACTTAGACATTCCCTTTTTTACGCCACAGTCATCCTGGTCTGAAGCACATTATGAATCTGCTTATAAACAGTTGTGTACAGAGGTGAAAAGTGACTATTTCATGTTCAACTGTATTATTATTATTACTGAGGAAAGTACAAAAGTAGCAAGTAAGAGAACTTCTACATCTCTCCTACATTGAAGTAGCCCTCCATCCATCTTTTATTTATAAGCTTAATCGTTTTATGAAAATTAAGCAACATGGAGTATCCCTCTAGTATTATTATACTTGAGGTAAATATATATATACTAATTTTAAAATAAACTAGGACTGAAAGTGACTGTGTTACTTGATCAATCATTTATAAAAAACATTTGTTGAAAATAGTTTTTAAAGTTGCTGTAGTTGACTTCAAAAGCTTGCGTTGTCTGACCAACAGTCTAAAATACAAGTCGTCTCAATTTACAACGAAATGAAACAGAGTTATGCGACGTCTCTGGGGCTCTTCCTTCCACCCTCCTGTGATCAAGCATTTGTAGCCACGCTAGATACTCTATGGATATCAGCACTGTGGCACGGTCTGACATTTGATTGGTCCAACACTTTCGTCCATATTTTATATTTATCAAGGCAAATATCTCAACATCTACTAAAATAGAATTGGCACAAAGTTTTGTACAGACATTCATGTTTTCCAGTCTGTTACGACTACGAAACATCAGCATGGTAGCATAGTTTCTGTTAGAATGTTAGCATTAGTAGCTCAAAGCTTCCTTTATGGATAGCTTTACTGAGCTGCTGGCATGCCTGTAGACTTCTAGTCTTGTTGATTGATGACTGAATTCAAAGCAAAAATGTTGCCAACAACAATGTTGAGTACCTGTAGTTAGTTACTTTACACCTCTGGTTGTCAGAGGAAATATCTAGACAAATTCCACAATTTAGATTAGTATTGATGTACATTTGTAACACTGCATCAGTGTGATAATGGAAACCGCATGGTCTTAGATAAAACAGGTAGAAGAACAAAATAAGAGAATATAAAGCACTGATTATCGCATCATTTTAGAGAAAATGTGATTTTAAGAGCAGTATCCCTGAGACAGAGGCTGCCTGTTGCAGAGTGAGTCAGCGCTGAGGCGGCTATCTTCTTCTCAGGGGGAACCTCATAATGAGTCAGTCACCTTGTCCTGTTGCTCGGGGCTCTGCCTTCCACCCTCCTGTGATGAATCACCAAATACACAAAAACGATTCTCAAGTTAAACCCTGTGCAACCATCTCTCATGTGGAATGCCAATTTTGTCGTGCTTGTCCTTGGCCAAACATTTGCTCTGAACTCCTGGAGGTTTCCAAGCAACAAACTCACTGTATTCATACCTATTTTGTCCCAAATATGTTCAATATTTTGAAATAAACGCATCTTTCCATAGATTTACTGTTTGCCTTTTTTGTTTGAGAATATACTAAATATAAAACTATTTTTATGGTTGATTAGGTTAAATTAAAAAGGTGAAAATTATACTTATAGGGAATATGCTGAATCACTTTTTATTGATAGCCAAGAAAAAAAATGGCCAACGTCTCAAACGAAAATCAGCCTCGCGCTTAGTCTAAACACTTTTAGAGGTGGGCTGATTTTGGTGACATTTGAACATTGCCAGGCTAGCCTTTATGCTAAGCTAACTACAGGCTTAATTTATATTTGAGCCTTACAGCTTTATTGATCTGAATGAATGGATGAATAAATTCATCTGACCTCTTTGCAACAAAGCAAACTAGAGTACTTCCTAAAGTGTTGATCTATTAAACAACAATTAAACTTGACTGGTAATGCTTTCAAGATGTTTGAACTAACATAAGGTGGACATAATATTTATTTAGTTTTCTGAAGACATTTTTGTTTTATTTAAGACAAAACTTACCTCAGACGATTATGCCTGTCTCTCGCATTCACACACTGTCACACAGAAGACAACATCCTCGCTGATAGACATATTTAATCTGTGTCTTGTAGATTCAGACGTAGACGTACAGCGTACTAACAGCACCATCACTGTCCTGTACATAAAACACACACAGTATTCCAAAGAGTGTACATCGTTATTAAAAAATATGTGAGACATAAATATTAGACAGGTGAAGAGTTTCCCAGTTCATACAGTAAAAATACTTTTTTTGTACAAAATAGTAAAACATATGGCTTTTGAAAATATTAAAAAATAATAATAATAAAACATACAGATAGCCAAGACAAAGGAATCAATATGATTGTAATGTACTGTATGACCCCTTCCATTAAGTAAACCTCAATAATGCTTCAGAACAGATCACACACACACACACACACACACACACACCCTCACACACCTTCTGCGAACAGGCCTGAATGAGTTCAGGTGGGAGTGTGTGACTGCTGTTACGGAGGAGGGGAAGGATCAAATATGGCTGACGGTCCGTTGATGTGTTTTATGATTGACAGTTCTGGCCCGCTTCCTGCTGTTGCACCATCTCATCCTTGCGGAGGGGGAAGGTGTCGATGGTGGTGAATAATTCAGCCGCCGTGATCGGGAACGGGTAGCGCTGCTTATCCATGCCCTGCTTGTCGACCAGAACCATTTGGAAAGACCTTTGAGGAATCTGGAGCTGTAACCTAGGAAACGCACATAATAATTTCAGTGAGCAGCAAAGTAAAAGAAACTCAGTATGTTCGCTCAAGTGTTATACTTTACTAGTGAGAACCACAAATCACTATATGTTTTTCGTTGTAGATTTAACTAGCCAACAGTATATAAGGGAGTTCAAATTAGCACAACCATAAACATTTAAAGCAGTAAAATTACATTACAGCAGCAGTAGTATTAATAATCCAAAAACAAATAGGAAAAAAATGACAGGGTATATTTTACAGCAGAATTTGTAACTTTACCTACTTTAAGTATATGTTTCTGGAAATATTTACACAATTTTACTTAAGGTTATGAATGCTGGATTTTAACTTGTAGTGTAGTACTTTCAAAGTGTTGTACTATTTAAAAAAGATCTGAATACTAAGAGACAAGGACGAGGACATTCATGACTGGTCCTTGGCTCTCAGCACTCAGATGAATGTTATGAATGTGTGTGTGGTTGTGTGTGTGTACCTGATCTGCAGGGACAATGCTGGAGTGAGCAGTCTGTGTCGAATTCGGCCAATCTGAGCAGGGTAAGTCCCAACCAGCTCAATCACTGTGACGTGCCTCAGGTCCAGTCCACACTGAGCATGCTGAGGACAGGAAAATTAAACTGATCAATACGTTTGGCGTTTCGAAGCTCTGTTATTCATTTCTATGCAGACAAAAAACCTGAGCACAGTTCATTTCATGGAGGATATAAAACAAATTTGAACCAAAGTGGGCATAGAGAACACCAGGGCTGTAACAATCGATTACTTGCATGATCAATTAAAGACAACCTGCAGTCAAAAGTGAGTTTTACTTTTTCACTTTCACTGTGCAGAATGATGTGTGTGCAGAGTTTAAAACTAAGGATGCATACACATTTATTTGCCTAGGGGGAGAACGTTTCTCTCAACTCACCTTAAAACTGAGTTCAAGATGTGGACATTCGAATATGATTTGTAAATCAATCATGGCTCACTCTGCAGCCTACACAACTGTGATGTGGAAACTTAAATCCTCTGAATGGAGATCTTAGTAAAGTTAGAGGCATATTTTGTCCAGCAGTTAAACTTTTTTTAAAGAAATATTTGCTAATTCAAACATTCTGGATTTTATAATCAGGTTAAAGCAGTACATGTAACAGTTCATCTAACTAATAACACAATTTAACATTTAGAGTTCCAAAAGTTGACGTCTGAGAAAAGGTCCGGTTTGGCCCAGCCACACTCAAAATCAAACAATATTACAGTACTATGAAATTAAATAGATAACGGCAGAAAATCCTCACTCCATGAACGAATTTTGGCAAACAAATTATGCTATGAAACACGCAGACAACTCACAACCTGATCACTGAGGTTGCTCACAAACTTTTAACGTGTTGTCTAAGCTTGAAAAGGTCAGGTGTTTAAAGACAGCTCCAACTTAATGGCATTTGGCGATCCGTTGAAACATCCATCACCAGAATAAACCTTTTCAAAGCTGTCAGTACGATTTATTCATCGTGTTGACATTTTGTGGACAACAAACCCTGTCACCCTATTGCCTTATTTGTTTGCCTCACTGCTTTGTCCCACTTGGGCAGCAAAGTGAGGGAGAAACACAGTCACACTGCGGTCCTGTGTGTGAGCAGCAGTGGAGACACGAATCACTGCAGCAGGACCTTACATCAACTCTTCTCTACGATCCTGCCCCCCCTCATACAGCTCATGTTCCCAGAGTCGTGCCTCACCTGTAAGTTAGTCATCTGGAAGCGGTAATTGTGATTGGCAGCCGTCGGCGCCGAGATAATGAGGAGCCGTCGTTTCTCATAGAACTGATCCAGCAGTGCAGCAGCTGTACGCACTCCCACGTTTATGTTCATGGCTGTGATGACATTGAATGTACAATTAAGTGATATGTTGAGATATGACACACAGTGCAATCATACGAGATTAAATACAACTCAATATCACACTAAGGTAAGGCGTAATTTAATTCTTTAGGGCTGTTGAGCAAAGGCACAATGGAAGTGTATTCAACTGTGAACTTAACCCGTAACATTGAGTATACATTACTGATGGTTTGCTTCAGGAGTCTCTCCAAACTGCTACTACTTCATGTCTCATAGATACAGACATTCAATAGAGTGGTGTCTAGTATTGATTTTTCTAATCGATAGAGGGCACAGGGGGCCCAATTTTCTCCTCCACTGAGCTTCTCCCCAGTGTAGCACAGGTAGGCCAACTTTACACAGGACTGTGGTGTTTATTGCCACTCGAAAGCACAAATTAAAAATAAATGAGCCAGAGCTTTGAGAATGAGATGTGGAAAATGTTGCCAGAATAGACCAAAACAAAACCCAATCAGAGCCTATGTTGAATACCAGTCCTGAGATAACCAAATCATAAAAAAGTATCACCACATTCAATTTTCCAATGGTAGAACTTTTCATTTATATGAACAGATTTGGCCTTTATCACAGAACTGGATGAATAATATATAGAAAATATCCATTTCCTTGATGATGCAAATACTTGAGTAGTCTTCCAAAGGAGCCTGTGTGGAGAACATCCTGCAAACTTTTATAATCCTATGATGATGTTATGGAGATATCTTAAATAATGAATCCCAAGGCTGTAGTGCTAGGAGTATCCTTGAAGATTGTAGACATCAATACGGCAAGGATGCAGCTTCCACAAGGGCATAGAGAGAGCAGGTTAAGTAAGTGTAGGACTTAAACTACAAACAATAACATTTGGGAAATGGTACCCACTAATTAAAAATAATGACTGTAAAGCCAAGTGAAAAATAATTGCCAATGTTAAGAGATAATACTTTTTTAAATTACAAATCTAGTATCTCTGTATGTTATTATATATACTTTTAATACATTTGAATGATTTGCCTTCTTTTTTGTTTTATTTTATTTCTGCAGCTGCATTCTTAGGTATTTTTTGTAAATTGCTGAGCATAAAAAACAACTAAACAACAATGGATAAATTAAAGATTGTTAATGTAAGTATGTATGCGTTTATCTGCACACAGTACGTACCTGTACAGGTGGTGTCCAAGCCGGACCAGGTGAAGCCATACTGACACACTCTGGCCACGCTGCCCTGCAGATCGTAGCCTCCGGTGCATTTGAACTCACAAGTGGCCCCGTAGTTGTCTCCGTCACTGTCACACTTCATATAACCGTTGTCCGGGGCAAACAGCGGGCTGCAGCGGCGCACTGAACAGAAAAAGAGCCCCATTAGATTCCAGGTAGCGAGGTCACATTCAAACAAATAAAAAAAGACAAGATTGGCCTTCTGTATATTGTCCATGTATATTGCACTATTGCCTGTAGGTTACAACAGCATCTCATTTGTTACAACAGTCTCTATTTTGACATTATTCAAGGTCTTACTTCTTAGTATTAACCGATAAGATAAAATGCTCCTTAAAAATGCTGCTTGACACTCATTATCAGAACCCTTTTATTAATTCACCTCGCACTCTGACAGTGAAGCGACAGGATCCTTTGTTCCCTGCACGGTCAAACACAGTGTAGGACATCTTATGGAGCCTCTCCGGGAAGTCTGATTTTGGAGCTTTCCCTTTCAGGATAACGCTGAAAAATAAAGGCTCTCTTTTAATCTTCCACTGTGATCTCAGTGTTAAGAGTGGCATATTGACAGACAAGGGAGAAACAGCTTAAAAGAGAGGTGGAGAGGAGACTGACTCTGTGAGGATGCCGTCTGCAGTGTCTACACCCTCGGGTGTGTCCCAGCTCACCCTCGCTGTCAGTTTTCCTGGCTCTGCCCACTTATCCTTCACAGTAGGACACTTAATTTTTGGAGAATCCATATCTACAGAGAGAGAGAGAAGGAAAACGTAAGTAAAATGTAAACAAAAGTCAACATTTGAATGTAAACTAATGCTTAAATGTGGACTCTATCCCTGTAATCTGAAATCTTGCAGCTAACATTAGAGCAGATAAAAGCACTGTTTAATCCATTCATGTATTGTTGGTTCTGAAAGAGACTAACGTCCCTCCTGTGGCACAATTTTCCAACAAAAACTCCTGAGATTTCCTTAGGTGATTAGAGGCACCACCAGTTTCCACTATTTAAAGAAGTGATGTAGCCTAGTACATGTTCAAAACAAAAACAGAGTAAAGTCAATAATTACTAGGAGACTCAATGTCACTTCACAAAGCTTTAAGGGCTGCAAGATGTGAAAAACATTTATCATTTCTGGTGACGAGAGACAAACCCCTGTGTGTCTGTGTACATGTCTAGAGGCATGTATTTTTCCAAACATCAATCATATAACCTTGTATTATGAGGAATACTCTGTAGTCTGCAGCTGACATTATGCCTACAGCAGGTAATCCCCTGTAACATGTGTTTTTGCAGCTCAGTAGTCTGCAGCCTCCAGTCCTCAGTGGGAGATTAATCAATGCACAAAAGAACAACACACACACACAGTCTTACCAACACAGGTGGGGACGTCAGCGCTCCACACCTTGTTGTACTGGCAGGTTGCCGTCTTGTAGCCCTTCAGACTGAATCCAGGGGAGCAGATGAACTCGCAACGAGAGTTGAAGTAGGATCCGTCTGAACACTTGTACCCGCCGTTAGCCGGCATGCTCAGCTTGGGGCAGCGGATCTCTGTCAGAGGAAATGTCAGTGTAGTAGGGTTTGCTTTGAGCATAGGGATGATTTGCTTTTCTTATTTAGCTTCAGGTACATACAATACATTTGGGCTGATGAAAGTGGTCCAACTTTGTCTTCCATTAAAATTCATAAATCAACCATTCACTGGTTGTCTTCCTTATTTCAAAACTAAAATGACTAGGATAACCCTTTAACTTGAAAATAGAAAACCAGTTGACATAATAAAGAATGTAGTCTGAGTAATCTTAAGAAACTTTAAAAAAACAGGGAATAAAGGGTCAGTATTCCTTGAACAAGGTGCTTGCAGGATGTAATGAAGACATTTGGCGGTATGTTGATGTATGCTGGTAGATTTGTCTTTGACATATCTGTTGCATGTGTTGTGTGTAAATGTTTAAAGCTTTTATTGTTCCGTGTGTACCTGCCAAGAATTTCAGATGGAAACCAGCTGCAGATGGATAATAGCTCAATCTGGCATGAAATGTATTTTTTTAGAACGTTTTTAATCCATGGTCTTTGTTTTGGGGATGACAATCTGACAACTCTTATTATCTTACCCCAAGTGTGTCCATTAGGCACGGCTTTCGGACTTTTTTCAAGTACAACCCTGCTAACAGTAAAGTGGAAGTCATTTTCCATGGAGTGGTTAAGTTTCCCTTGGGGTCATTACTGTTTTCAAAGAGGCTTGAACCCCCTGCCATGTATAGGCTGCTTTATCGTCTTTTGTTTTCTTAGCTATGTTCTCTGTATTTTATATGTTTGTGTTATGAGTTATGTGTAACGTTGCTGCCTTCTTGGCCAGGTCAGCATTGGAAATTAGATTTGATCTCAATGCTTTTATCTGGTTAAATAAAGGTTAAAGTGGACCTATCATGCTGTATTTGAATAATATATTGTAGGGCCATACCTATATAAAACATGTCTGTGAAGTTTTTTTTTCAAAAAACCAAACAGATCATGCATTTTAGCCATGCCTCATTTCGCTCTATTTGCTCTTTTCCAGCCCTGTTTTTGCAAGGGCTGATTCTGTGAGAAGTCTTCTTCGCTGCTTTTGTGGCAGACTACAGCGCCACTTACAGGCCTGGCATATGTACTACAGCGTCTCCAGCGCTTTCGAGCGGCTGTCACTACCCGATCTGTAGCCCTGCCCGATCTGCAGTGCGCATGTGCGAGATGGTCCGCCATATTGGACAACCCCGTACAGCAACCCAAGTAGGACACTTGACACAGTGGCTTTTGGCAAAGCTCTATTTGCACTATTATTTAACAACTCTTTTTATTGGGTTCTTTTATTTGGGGTTAAGTACATTGTCAGAATAAGTGAGAAATGAATTTAACTTCTGTTAGACAGCTATCATACTGAATAAATATTTACTGTGAATGTGTGCAAACATGTATGGCATATAGCTGTCTAACAGAAGTTAAATCCATTTCTCACTTATTCTGACAATGTACTTAACCCCAAATAAAAGAACCCAATAAAAAGAGTTGGTAAATAATAGTGAAGTCACGTTGTAATAACAATAACTCATCTCTCTCGAGTTTTCTTTTTGTGCTTTGCCAAAAGCCACTGTCTCAAGTGTCCTACTTGGGTCCCCTTAAATAAAAAATAAATAGGCATCACGTGGAATAAATTGACCCATGTAAGTGTTTCAAAATGTTATGTTTTAACATTCATTAATTTGAGAGTTCCTGAACTTCAACTACACTCGCTTTTTGTTCATAAAAATGTAAGCTCTAGGCCAATAAAGTAACGATAAAGACAGTTATATTAAGTCCAACGGTGAAGAAAAAGTCAGGACATGCTATTTTTGCTGCGGTGTGAACTTGTTCAAATATTTAAGAATTGACTTTACTTTACATGAGGCAAAACCAGTATGTGCTGCATGAGACGTGTGTGTGTTCAGTTCTTACCTCGGCAGGCGTAGTTAGAGGACCAGTGTTTGTTGGCCATACACACCACCTCTGAGTTCTGAGACTCGTATCCCTGCTTGCAGCGGATTTTACAGCGAGTCCCCATCACGTTCCTGTAGTGTTCTCCTCTGGGCGCGCGACAGCTCACGTCTCCATGTTTCAACTTAATGGGCGCACACCACGGTGTCCCTGAAAGCAGAGGAAAGATAGCTGCTCTGACCTTTCCTTTGCTGCAAGTACAGTATATGTTTTTTATGGTACAGTCTTGGAGTGAGAGAGTATCAGTATTCCATGATAAGCACTTACCTGAGGACTATTAAAGATTAGACCTTTCTATATAAGCGTTAAAATGTGAAACCCTCCCATCCTCTGAGTTCAGACTGATACGGAGGATTTCTTGTTACCTTATCTGCTACTTTCCATAGTCCAACAGTGTCTCATGAAGATAGACGATATTCTTACTTCCAGATAATGATGGGAAGAGAGCACTTAAGTTTAACAGTGAGTGTGGTAGAGTGTGTGTTAAAAGTACTGTTCTTTATTGCTCAAAGATTTTTGTTCCATCCCTAGATTAGGTCTGTCCAAAACATGGGGACTGGTAATATTGTTGTATCAGTAGAGTTTATTTGAAGCTACTTTGCAGCAGCCGGTCAGTTTAGCACAAGGACTGTAAACAGGCTGCAGTAACAAGCTCGGCGCTGTTCGTAAAGGTTACAAAATTCACCTACCAGCAAAAATATGACTGGTTAAAAAAAGTTTTATGAGCATTTCTGATCTTCTCTTACATTATGAGCCATCCAGAACTTTCAGGTCTGCTGGGACGGGACTGATTTCTATCAAAACTACACATGGAGAAGCAGCGTTTTTTAAAAGCTCTATATATGTGGAACAAACTAGCAGAAAACAGCAGGTCCGCCGCAAATGTCACTACTCTCTATAAACGAATCCAGGCCGAAGACCTTTCTTTTTGCCACTGCTTACTGCTTTTAAGCATTTTAAAATGTCATTTACAGAGTCAGTCTAATTTTTTGTAAAGCGCTTTGGATGGCCTTGTGTTGAACTGTGCTACATAAATAAACTTGCCTTGCCTTTACAGTTGAATTGTGTTACCTTTGGACAGAGCCAGGCTAGTTGTTTCCCTCAATCTTCAGCCATGTTAAGCTAAGCTAACACGTATGGTTATGAGATATTCTATGTACAGATAGTGGTATCTATTTTCTCATCAATTTATAATCAAGAAAGTGTTTTTTTCTCCAAAATTATAAACTAATACTTTAATAAGATAACGGCGTTTGACTTTGACTTTTCTCCTCCTCCTCTCCTGCCCATCTCTACAAAGCGTGTGTATAAATTCCTTGTTTCATGCCAAGTTTGAGGGGCCGCATGGTTCTTATTCCAATACAGTGAAATCCAAATCTGCAGTTTATTTCATGCTGGCTCAGGACAAACATTCTGTAGACCGACACACACAAAGCCCACAGTTGGAGAGAATAGTTTAGGCTAATTTCCAGTTGGACAAAAATTGAGTAGCCTATTCATTACACAGCAAACCTCCCCTCCCTCCCTCCCTCCCTCCCTCCCTCCCTCCCTCTGTCCGTCCGTCCCCCTCTCTCTAAAAAATAAAATGTGAGCTTTTACACAAGGGTTGTTCGGTTTGGCCTGGACGATAATGTTCCGTGTCTAACTGACCCCGAATATAAACTGGAAGCTGCTTTGACGTAACAAAACTGGCTGAACTTCCTGGAGTTGATTATGCCTCTTAAAAGACACAATCAAATAACATTTTTAATACAATTCTAATTTGTTTTGTTATTCTCTAGATATATGTGAAAATAGTGCATAATCAAAATACATCCCTTCTGAATCCACTCCTATCTAATTTGGGGAAAACATATACAAACGTTTTGCTATAGTGGGATTTACTAGCAGCTAGTAGGGGAATTTAAAAGGTCACAGATGTTTCTTGACATTTTCTCCATCTATGCATTTATCTTCTGACCTTCTGTTTCTGATCTTTCAAAGCTGTTGAGGGAGGTGTGGGTGCAAACTACGAGTGTTTACCAATCTGAAGGATTTTATTTAAATTGTTTTGTAAAAGACCATCGCAGATATAGTCAGTTTTACTCTGAAATAACTCACATTAGATAATGATGCTCTCACTGCTGTTTTATTCTGACTATTGACTAGAGGAACTTGGTTAACTCTGTTGGTCTGCATGACAAATAGGAAACCATAGTTACTTTGATAAGCAGTCTCTGAATAGATATGGAGTCACGTTTCAGAATACATGTACTGTATGTATCGACAGTGTCAAACTGAGCATGCGTTCACCTTTATATCTACGAGAATGCCAGTCCTCGTCGTCTCCATGGGCGTATTGTCCTGACCCTGGGGAAGAAAGAAAGGAAGAAAAGCAACTAACATGGCAAAAAGAGCTGCATCCAAGATGTTAGGCAATGTTTGAAAGCACTGTCCTGGACTGACCTTGATCAACAAGAACAGGCTTAAACATGTTGCCTAACTTTTAATCTGAACCAGACTCAGTGGGGGATCTGGATCTTTTGGACTGACTACATGCACATGAATAAATCACAAAAGATCAATCCTTTCCAACTGCTTTGGAAAAAAGGAATCTGTTCAAAACAAAGATTCATTCTGCTCAATCCAGTATGCTGTTTTTGCTTTGTCCTTTCTTCCAAATCAGCGCCATAGATAATACTTACCATTGTAAGAATGCACAGAGCATTCAGACTGAGGGAATATATATTTCAACAATAAAACAGAAGCATCCAAGGAGAACTGAAATATGTCTCAGTGGGGGCTGAGAAGAGGGCACAGCGATATTGGTAAAAGACATACGTGAGAGGAATTGTGATGAGCAAGGGGGATTATTTTAGGAAAGCAGGAATAAGGGAGGGGGTCAGGAGGCAGTAAAAACAAAAATGAAAGAGGACACAGGTGAGGAAGGGGTTAATGTAGGGGGAAGGGTGTTCAACCTTGGCCCTGGGATGTTATGAACCCCCGGTGTGAATGTGTCCTCTGTTCAGGATCCACAAGGAAAGAGTGTTCAAGCCTCCTTCAGCTTCATGTATCAGCCGCATGTTGGCCATTGAACCCGATACTGTGAAGAGTCCCTACATTCCTCATCATGACTTTTCTGTCAGTTTAATTAAAGCTGTCTGGACCAAAATGCCGCAAGTTGTCTAATACACACACACATACAAAAGTTCTGAGGTTTTTAGCAGTCAGATCACACCGCATGAATTGTACCGAGCAAACCCACATACTGAGTGAGTCAGATTTAGCTGCCTATTGGGAAAACTTCAGTGTCTGCTTCCTAATGGGGAGAGGGAGGGAGGCAGAGAAAGGTTTGGAAAACTAATAACAGGTGTGTGTGTGTGTGTGTGTGTGTGTGTGTGTGTGTGTGTGTGTGTGTGTGTGTGTGTGTGTGTGTGTGTGTGTGTGTGTGTGTGTCCCTTTCAAAGTGAGCATTAGTTAAAGCCAAATGCAGCAGAACATTGATCAGTTCTGTAACAACTCGCAGCCATTCCAAGCGAACAAAACACAGGAATTTACACCATGAGAGACAGCAGTTCCTTGTTTGTGATACCAAAAATGTGACTTACTTCTTACATTTTTCAGACGGAAGTTATAATGCTTAAGATTTGGACACATTTCATGTATTTAGGGGTGAAGTCATGTGTCGTAATAACAATTTAACTTAACCAGACTGTAAAACTTGATAGACTCCTGTCAACAGCTACAATAAACACAAAACAAGTTCAATTTATATAGTCAGAGAAACAGCCCCATGCTATAGAATAGTAACAAACTTGCAGACACCTTTATGTAGTAAGAGGAGAATGATAAGATGGTTTCTCCAGTAGTATATATTATCTATAATGTCCATTAAGAACTGCTAGTCTGTCCTGTTATTTAATTTCAGTTCACTCAAATCCAGTACTTGAATGCATAGAGTGAAGTCCTAATCCTAAAGCAGGAGCATTAGATCTGATATAAAAAAGATCAGGTTTGATATGAAATCCATGATGAATGATATTCCCCTTCAAGCAGAGGAGCCTGTAATCAATACCACTCTAACCGGGTAAGAAACGGCCCCAAACTACATTATACATATCTTAAAATAATAACATTGTACATCATTGTGCCACACCAGACTCCATGGGCAGATCCAGGCCAACTATTAACAGCAGTTATTTCACTCCTGAACAGGAAACATGTGAACAATAACAAGCAAGACAGAAATAAAGACTTATCCACTTTTCCTTGACACATCCTTAATGTGTTTGCCTGCATTTTGTAAAAAGAGCTGCAGTTACTTTCTTGCCAACAGGTGACGCAGGTCGGACTGAATATCCGGGCCTGACACTGCATTTCAGCTTTGCATCTCAATTTAGATTAAATTGGCTCGGTCTGGTTTGGCCTTTGTTCGTAAAAGCACTGCAGTTTCAAACAAACCGAAGAAAAGAAAATATGATATGAGACTCGGCTGAAGGCTGAAGTGGGATCGGCAGTGATTTCATATTCCTGCTCATCTAGCTTCAAATTAGATCTTAGCGAGAAAGATGTAAAAATGTTAATAGTGCAGGAAGCGTTGAAGCTTCTGGGAGTGAATGAACCTTTAAATTACAGAGCGCAATATTCCAATTAGTCTTTCTCTGCAGGCCTGTAATATAGACTGTCATTATATGGATGCTCATCTTCTCTTGAAGTATAGCTAAAGGCAATCGGAGCAGAAGAGATCAAACAATAAATGTCATTTCTTTATCGCTCAATTCAACACAGCAGTATAACAGGGTTATGTAACTCCTTTTAGTGCACTAATGATTTCTGTCCAATTAAATCTGTGAACCAACATTTCTGCTGCTGGTTCTTTAATCACATCATCAATTTCTGACCCTGAGGTTCAAACTGATGCTGTTTTTAACTCCAATAACACTTTATAATGAGGGACCGCAGTTGCTAGTTATAGTGATGAACCCATAGCTCACCACTCTACTGGATCGTACCGTATTTATTATTGCATCTAGGTTGTTAGCAGAGTTAATTTGAAATTATGAATCTATAAAAGTGTTCAGTTTTCAGATTAGAAACTCCTTATGGTGGTGATTTGTGAATATGGCATTTATCTGTCTGCACTGAAAGCTGCATTTTTAAATGACTATGTTTTATGTGAAAGGGATCGCTCATGAAGATGAATCGACTGTAAATGATGGTCTTGTCTTTTAGCTCAATGCCCACACACTCTCACACCAGCGTCATTTCCAAAATAAGGCAGCTCTTTTCAGCTAAAAGGTCTGTGGTGAAACGGTGTAGCATTTAGCAGCTAAAAATGTTCACTCTGGAGTTGGGAGATACTAAACACAGAGCTCAAAGGAGGATGAATATTGGACTTAAATTCATCACACCCCAGATACATATGTTGCTGTATGTGTGATTGATGTTAAAAAGGCACTGTTTGATAACTGTTCGCCATATAAACTTCATATACTGTGACAATGTGTTCATGTTGTGTTCTCATCTGCTTTCACTCACACCAATTACCACAGTTTAAAGTAAAACAAGCTTTACTGTAAATGTGACCAGATTTATTCCGTAATTTAAAAAGGGAAAAAGTAATGTTGTCCAGTTCCACATGCAGGACATTTTAATAGGCTGAGCTGTAGTGTTCAATCAAGACAAACAAATATTAGAGTGCACTGCAGTCCTCTATATAATACAAAAAAAAGTGTTTTTGAATGCACTTCAGAGCGGTAAATACCCACTTTGCTTTTCATTGATCTACAGTTAATTTCTGATTGGTTTTATTCGTTTTTTCTTTGTGACTATTAAAGATTTACGTTGTTGTGAAGTGTTTCTCATCTCCTGGCAGAAACACAACTGAGCACTTACAGTGACTCCAGAGTGATGGTGCCTGCTGGCATTTCCTCAAGGGGCTCCCTGTGTGTAGAGGATTTATCTGCCCCTAACTCACATCAGCACAAGAATCCTCATGGAAAATGTGATCAGGCTTTCAAGTATACTCGCTGTAGAGGAAGATTAAGTGTAAGAAGCAAAGTAGAACTCAGGCAAAATATTTCCATTGTTAAAAGAGAACCCAAAAGTAGTTATTCTTGTGCACTGCCACCCAGTTTTCAAGGCATGCTGAACAAGTCATTTGGGTAATTGACCACTAGAACAAACAAACAAACACACCACTGTAAAATAAACTCCTCATAAACACACTCACACTAACACAAGTACAGACCAGATCAGAGTCCTTACTGTCAGCTGCAGGCAGTTTTTAGTGTGTCAGTGTAAATCTGCTCTGCAGCATGTGTTCATGTTTCAGCCTGCATGATGATCATACAACAGTGAGACACTCTCAAACCATCTACAGGCCCATCACCACTGTGTCACACACACACACACACACACACACACACACACACACACACACACACACACACACACACACACACACACACACACACACACACACACACACACACACACACACACACACACACACACACACACACACACACACACACACACACACACACACACACACACACACACACACACACACACACACACACACACACACACACACACACACACACACACACACACACACACACACACACACACACACACACACACACACACACACACACACACACACACACACACACACACACACACACACACACACACACACACACACACACACACACACACACACACAACTGTGGGCTACTGGCCAGCTCTTGTTGGGCTCTGTTTATCTGGAGAATGTTTTCTTACATTGGATGCTATTCTTCACTGTAGGGCTGCAACAGTTATTTTTCAACTAGTGCATTATTAATGATTCTATAAAAGAGGAGAACATTTAGAAAATGCCTATCCCAATTAATCTTAGGTAACTTAATAACATGTCTTGTTTTTTTGTATCCAACCAACAGTCCAAAGCTTTAAGATATTCAAATAATATGATGGAAAACAAAACAAAAACACGAAATTCTCACATTACAAAAATGGAAACCAGATTGGGTTTTTTTGCTAGAAAAAGTGACCAGGCAACTAATCAATTCTCAAAATTATTATCTGCATATGATTAGTCAACGTATCGTTGCTGCTCCACTTAAGTGTGTGCGTGTGTTTGTGTCAGTGATTATGTGTTTACTCAACACCAGAACAGAAACTTATCAGTAACCAGAGGTGGGAGGAGTACTCAAATCGTGTACTTGGGTAAAAGTATAATTACCAGAGTGTAGGAATACTCTGTTATAAGTAAAAGTCCTTATTTCAAAATGTGACTCAAGTAAAACTACAAAATTATTATCATCAAAATATACTTAAAATACCAAAAGTAAAAGTACTCATTATGCAGATTGGGCAATTTCAGAATAATATATGTTTGATTATAATTATTGATGCAAGGTGCAGCTAGTTTCAATGCCTTTGTATACTGCAGGGTACCATGTTAATTTACTCCAGGTGTAACTACATTTAAGTGTTGATTATATTTTACATCATTTATACAAATCTATAAAGTAACTGCATGTATTAAATGAATGTGGTGGAGTAAAAGTACACCATTTACCCTTGAATTGTAGCAAAGCAGAAGTACAAAGTAGCATAACATGGAACTACTCAAGTAAAGTACAACCATCTCAAAATTGTACTTAAGTAGCCTACTGTACTTGTATATGTAGGCTACTTAGCTGAAAAGAGCTGCCTTATTTTGGAAATGACACTGGTGCGAGAGTGTGTGGGCATTGAGCTAAAGACAAGACCATCATTTACAGTCGATTCATCTTCATGAGCGATCCCTTTCACATAAAACATAGTCATTTAATCCATCGATTTAAAAGTGCAGCTTTCAGTGCAGACAGATAAATGCCATATTCACAAATCACCACCATAAGGAGTTTCTAATCTGAAAACTGAACACTTTTATAGATTCATAATTTCAAATTAACTCTGCTAACAACCTAGTTCAGTAACATACTTTAAACACTTTCAAGATGTGGTTCTCTTTGATAGAAGATTAAACCAAAGAGGCGATGAATAGGTTGCTCTTGTGAAAGTATAAGTAAAGGGCAAGATTGACATAGCACTTACACTACAGTTGCAGGGCTTTCATTAGCAGCCTGCCATAGGCACAGACTGAGCTCTGTGCACAGAAACGTCCCCCAGATGCACACTGCACTCCCCCCGCTGTCCTCCCCCTCCACGTAAACACAAACGCAGTTCACCAAAAACCAGCTGTAGGATAAGAAGCCTCACATGCATGCAAACACGTGTCATAAAAACAATACCAACACAACCAGTTTAATGTAAAATAAGTGAGATATTATACTTTTCCATCAGACAATCTAATACAAAAACGGTTTGACACCCCAGCAGTGTTAATACTGTCCAGGGGGTGAATGAGGGTCTTTGTCGCTTCCTTACCTTCATACCCGGAGCAGAAGCAGAGCTGCACGAACAGGAGCACCAGCGGCCACATGTCCATGTCGAGGAGCGGGACTCTTCAGCATGTGAGGAGGGAGAGCAGGAAGACTTCCAGCGCATTCCTGCCTCCCAAAGGCCCGCCTCTCGCTCCAGAAACAAGGGAGGATTCTCCAAACAGTCAGACCAGGATAACGGCATGAGGCGGGCCAGAGAGGCTGTGCCAGCCCCTGTGGGTAAACTGTGACATCCACCCGAGTATCACCGCAAGAGAAAATCATGCAAATCACCCCAGTTTTCATTTTTAAACCCTCTACTCAGCAGTAGACACAATTTAGGCCACAGCTACTAGTTACATAAGCAGCCTACAATTTGAGGTGCTTAGTAGTTGGGCTACTTCTCGGTTGTGGAAGAAGAAAGCTACTCATATCCCTCATTTAAGTAAAAATAGAAACACCATGTTCACTTAATTTAAAATGTTTAAACAGTAAGGAAGTTTAATCAGGAAAATGCACTAAAAAGTAGCCTATAGTGAAATTAGGGTTTATCATTATTGAGAATAGCTTATGTGTTGTATTATTTAATTATATATTATTTTGTTTTCTTCAAAACAAATCTATAAGAACATTTAATTTTACAGTTTGGCAAGGTGGAGCCAACTTAGATACTCCAACAAGTGTAGCCCAGTGTTGTTAAAAGTACAATATTTATTAGTAATGTTTATTAGGCTAAATAACAGAATGGAAATACTTAAGTGCAAGTATGTCACAAGTATGTACTAGTGTACTTAATTGCTTTAGTTACACTGCTTCGATACACTCAAGTTTATTTACAGTACTTTACTGCAGCATCTGCACACACTGTTTATAAGATACTTTGCAATGTTGTAAATCAAACTAGGGGTGACCAGACTGAGGGGCCGAGGCCTCATACCGATGTCTCAAGATAAATACATTTAAGAGTCATGAAGAAAATCATAAAATGAATATTACTTACAAAAAGGGCTATTTTCTAAGGGGTCATGTAGTTTAACTGTTTCTTAATCAAGAGGAAATTAAATCAACGTTTCACCAGGATGTGATTTTGGTATAAAATAATTGTTTCTGTTATTCATATTTTGAGCAACATGAGCAACATGAAAAGACACAGTATGGTCTAAACAGTGTTTTGGATCTCAGAGTTGGATCCCTGTTTTTTCCTTCCTACGCTATTCAAATGAAATGTTTTGAAGTTACCATAATGAAATCAATCCTGTCTTTACATTTGCATAGCAGTCTACCTGATTATTATTCTGTTAATAACAAAGACACTGCGGGGGAGGGGCGATGAAAGCTGATGTTAGGTTGTTGACCCTGAGCAGAGTGCGAGGGGGCGAGTCCACACATGAAGAGCTCTTTGACTGACGGGAACAGGAAGGGAAGGCGTCTTGTCTGTGGTGATAAAGTGACTGAGAGGATCTCCTGAGCTGTAATTATAGAGTGGAGGCTCAGCCAACAATTAGACATTAATCAGGGGTCAGGTGAAGAAACAGTGACTCCATCTTTGCTCACCTGGATCTGGAGGAGTGGACACTTTGATGTGGTGTTACGGTCGATGATCTCGGATTACGATTGTCTCTGGCTTTTGTTTTCTTTGACTATTGTTTACACAACCACACTTGCACTTTTCTGGTGTTTTCTTGGAATATATTTTTGAATTATTTTACGGTTTCAGCATTTAAAAACTTAGATTTCTACCCAAGGACACTGTGTTTTGTCATTATAAATGTTGCCTTTAGTGTGGTTTGATATTGATCACAAGTATTGTTAAAAACGGTCCATTGTGAGGCCATTACTCAAGAGCAATGCCAACTTTCTTCTAACACAGGGGTGCCCAACCAGTCGATCGCGATCGACCGGTCGATCGCGGGAAGATTCCCAGTCGATCGCGAGATGTGTCTAAAAATAGAACAACAATATTCTGTTTTATCGTTAATGTCCTATAACATAATCTTCCTGTGCCAGAATAATGCACTTGAACGCATCAAAGCTTTGTGATTGGCCGGCGTGACCCCATGTGTCGGGGCGTGGCTGGTGGGCAGTATTTCGCTGACGTTGTCCGTGTCAAATTCAACAGGAGTGACAGTCCGCACACACACAAGACCGCAATTATGGCAGAAACAAAAGAGCCCAAAATATATCATTTTCACTCCGAGTGGGAGGATGATTATTTTTTATCTATTCCAATTCAAAGTCCATCTGTCTCATCTGCAATGCGAGCGTGGCTTTATCGAAGAAGGGTAATTTAGGAGCGGCATTTTCAAAACAGTGCACAAACGCTACGAGACGGAATTCCCTCCTAATTCTGCCCTACGCTCCCAAAAGGGGAGGGGCCTGAAAGGACAGCTAAATGCACAGCAGTCCATTTTCACCAGGCCCAACAACAAGAGCAAGGCTGCTACCAGAGCATCTTATCGTGTCAGTCACGTTCTTGCGAAACACATGAAGTCTTTCAAAGACGGCGAAGTTGTGAAAGAAGCATTCCTGGAGGCTGCGACGCGCTTTTTGGGGACAGTAAAAATAACAGAAGCATTTTAACAGGTTTTTGATATAATAAAAACTCAAGTTGGATACCGTTATTAATCAGCTGTAAGTTTTAGTTTGTTTGAACTTAGTCATTATAATTATTGTACAAAATGGTATAAGAATGCAAACTTAAATTGATTATAGTCTATTATCAATTCAGGTTAAGAAACTGTTGCTTGCATCCTATTTTAAAGGCATTTATTTGTATACTCTACTAAAATGCAACAAAAAAGGGTTTGATTCTATTAATTGTGTCTTTTTTATTGCACTTTGGCAGCAGATTCCTGTGTAGCTTCAGATCTGAGTTGTTTTATTAGTAAGCCTAATTTATACTTTTGTAGCAACACTATTTTTATATAATGGCAAAGAAAGGGTTCAGAGTCTTTTCTTTCTTTCCTGTGTCATATGTGGCAGCACTGTTCAATGTTTCTTGAAAACATTACCCACTGTAGTATGTGACATGTGAATAAACTCCAACTCTGTATCAACAACACTGTTGTGTAACTTCAGTTAAATACTTGTATGTGTGTAGATTAGAAAGAGGTAAGATAAAGGATCTGCAGTATTTTATGAGGTATTAATCGTACAAAGGTCAGTTTTATACAAGTAGAAGTGTGTATTTACCTGGTCAGTAATGGCTACGCCTCTCTATTTGGACTGGTAGATCTCGGCAGACTGGCAACTTTAAAAGTAGCTCTCGGTTCAAAAAAGGTTGGGCACCCCTGTTCTAACATAAGGATGCACTCTCACTGTTACTGTGGGTTCCTTTATATCATGTACGTGGGCTGGGCATTGTGGTTTAGTTTTAGTGACATGCAACACATGCTGCCGTCGATACTCACTCCTAAACTGTGGTAAAAATGAAAAAGGCAATCTATTTTTGCCACATTTGAAAGATAAATGAATATAACAGCGTCAGTAAGTGATAAAGTGATAAGACACAGACTGGTGCGTTGTTGGGTTTTGTCTTTAATGGGAGACAATAGAAAGAATACATTAAAGCATTAATAGCGCTGTTGGAGTCGGGACTCACGTGAGCAGCTGGATGCTGAGGCAGAACCTCAGTCTGCTCACTTCCTCTCCCCTGCAGCGCTCGTCTTCCTCTTCCTCGGTGCTGCTTTGGGAGTTTCTATCTGTTGTTTGTCTTTCCTGTCAGGAGGCAACTTCAGTTTGCTCTTTGTTGTTGATGCTTTGACTTCTTCCTCCTCTTCCTCCTCTTCTTCCTCTTCCTCGCTAGCAGGAATTTCACTACGTTTGACATTAGAAGCCTTTCCTTTTCCCTCACTCTCCTCCTCTTCCTCACTTTCTTCGTTAGCGTCTTCCTCACTCTCCTCCTCTTCATTTCCATCAGAGTCACTATCTTCTTCCTCCTCTTCTTCATCCTCTGTAACCTCCCCCTTACTCTCTTCTTCCTCCTCCTCCTCTTCTTCGTCCTCTGTAACCTCCTCCTTACTCTCTTCCTCCTCCTCTTCCTCATCCTCCTTACTCTCTTCTTCCTCCTCCTCCTCTTCTTCATCCTCTGTAACCTCCTCCTTACTCTCTTCCTCTTCATCCTCTGTAACCTCCTCCTTACTCTCTTCCTCATCCTCCTTACTCTCTTCCTCCTCCTCTTCTTCCTCCTCATCCTCTGTAACCTCCTCCTTACTCTCTTCCTCTTCCTCATCCTCCTTACTCTCTTCTTCCTCCTCTTCTTCCTCATCCTCTGTAACCTCCTCCTTACTTTCTTCCTCATCCTCCTTACTCTCTTCTTCCTCCTCTTCTTCCTCATCCTCTGTAACCTCCTCCTTACTCTCTTCCTCTTCCTCCTTACTCTCTTCCTCTTCCTCATCCTCCTTACTATCTTCCTCCTTACTCTCTTCTCCCTCCTCCTCCTCTGTAACCTCCTCCTTACTCTCTTCCTCCTCCTCTTCCTCATCCTCCTTACTCTCTTCTTCCTCCTCTTCTTCCTCATCCTCTGTAACCTCCTCCTTACTTTCTTCCTCATCCTCCTTACTCTCTTCTTCCTCCTCTTCTTCCTCATCCTCTGTAACCTCCTCCTTACTCTCTTCCTCTCCTCCTTACTCTCTTCCTCTTCCTCATCCTCCTTACTATCTTCCTCTTCCTCCTTACTCTCTTCTTCCTCCTCCTCCTCATCCTCTGTAACCTCCTCCTTACTCTCTTCCTCCTCCTCTTCCTCATCCTCCTTACTCTCTTCCTCCTCCTCCTTACTCTCTTCTCCCTCCTCTTCACCCTCTTCTTCCTCATCCTCTGTAACCTCCTCCTTACTCTCTTCCTCCTCCTCCTTACTCTCTTCCTCTTCCTCCTCCTCCTTACTCTCTTCTTCCTCCTCCTCCTCCTCCTCCTTACTCTCTTCCTCCTCCTCCTCTTCCTCCTTCCTCTCTTCCTCCTCCTCTTCCTCATCCTCCTTACTTTCTTCCTCCTCCTTACTCTCTTCCTCCTTACTCTCTTCTCCCTCCTCTTCACCCTCTTCTTCCTCATCCACTGTAACCTCCCCCTTACTCTCTTCATCCTCCTCCTCCTCTTCCTCCTTACTCTCTTCTCCCTCCTCTTCACCCTCTTCTTCACCCTCTTCTTCCTCATCCACTGTAACCTCCTCCTTACTCTCTACTTCCTCCTCCTCTTCCTCATCCTCCTTACTCTCTTCTTCTTCCTCCTCCTCATCCTCCTTACTCTTTTCTTCCTCCTCTGTAACCTCCTCATCTCCATCACTCTTTTCATCTTGATCTTCCTCATCTTCCTCTTCCTCCTGAACACTGGCATCATCCTGCTTCTCACTTTCGCTCGAATCTTTTTGATCCTCAGTTTCTTCCTCCTCCTCTTCGTCAACCTTGTTTTCTTCTTCTTCCGAGACAGATGCTGAAGTGTCGCCTCGGGGCTCTGACTCTTCACCACTTTCATCTTCTTCATCCTCACTCACCTCACTTTCTTCCTTTTCTTCTTCATTGTCTTCCTCCTCGCTGTCACTTCCCTCCTCCTCTGATGCCACACTTTCCTCAAACTCACTCCCTTCTCCACCTGCTTCCTCACTGCTTTC